GGCTTCTTGAAGAAAGAATTCATCATAAAGAGTCCTTCCTTCTCCATAAAGTCCGCCAGCATCTGTCCTCTGGGATTCCGCTGCCCAAATCCAAATGGCCCCACTTTCAACTCATCATCGCCTCTACGGCCCAGTTTTGCATTGAAATCTCCCATAACAACGGTAAAATGTGATTGGGAGTTACGTATGGCCCTACTAATGTCCTCATACGTAGCTTCCACTTCATCGTCTGGATGTGACGTCGATGGGGCGTATACCTGTACAATCTTCAGCGAATACCGCTTTGAGATTTTGAGGACAAGGTATACTACCCTACTCGACACACTTTCGATGGCCACAATGTTGTTTATGAGAGATTTGTGGACGATAAACCCAACACCACCTTGGGACTTCTGTTCTCCCTCCCGGTAGTAGAACAAGTGGCCGGACTGTAAGGTTTTCGTATCTTCCCCCTCTCTTCGGATCTCCGATAAACCAATAACGTCCCAGCGCAACTTGTTCATTTCTTCTTCCAGCTCTATTAGCTTCTCGTCCAACCTCAAAGTGCGCACGTTGTATGTCACCAGGGCCAGTTGTCGTTGTGAAGGGGGGTGGTAGCCGGATCTCTGCCGGGGATTCTTAGCACCCCTTTCCCCGCCGTTACCATGGCCGCTACCGTAACCAGGAATAGCGGGGCCGCCGGGGACTAGGGGCCTGGTTCTGCGGTGTGCAATCATTTTGGAGGTTTATTAGCCTACTGGTACCACGCTGGCTAGACGGGTTGGTACAGGGTTTAATTCCGAGTTTTCCTTCTCTCACACTAGTAAATATTGTGTGTTATGCTTTCCCTTTTGTCGCCTCTTACGACTCCCCTGGGATGGTAATGGGGGTGGTGACAAAAGTATTCTAATGCCGTCACCACACGGCTACAATTAACTACAATTTAGCATTACATAAATAACTCATGTACTCACTAAGGAAGATTTTAGACTTTGTTCTAAGCTACTATGTAAATTCAGACTGAAAAAATAAACTGGTCAAAAAGTCAATAAGATAAAAAAGCTAGTCAAATCTAGCTGTCTTCCTTCTCGTCTGTACAATTTTGAAATGGTTTGAGTAAAAGTTCGTTTTCTTTGAATCCAACACCTGCAAAGGAGATAAGGGTCTTTTGTGTATAAAATCATTCTAAAGGCAGCTGTCTTGAATACCTTGCTTTGTTTGTTTGTTTGCGAATAAACCGGTTTCGCGAGGAAACTGGGAAGCCTTTATTAACAGGTTACGGGGTACATAAAAAAGGACCTTGATTGATCTGAAGAAATACTTCGCAACCTCATCTAAAGTTTTATTTAATAGTTTCTAAAAGTAATTTTAGAGTGCTATTTCATACCAAAACAACTACACGGTCGCTTTTGAGGCTTTTCTTAAAATATTTTTTTTGGTTGAGTAAATGGTTGAGCGATCTCACGGCCCATTAGGGCTTAAGTGTTTCCCGGAGTACCTACACAGACGACACCCCAATATTAATGCCGCTAACCACTTTGAGTTAGGAGCTCGAGCTCTCAATTATATAGAGAGCTCGAGCTGCGAGCGATATTGAACCATTCAAAGTGGAACGCATAATTGCTTCGGGGCAGAAAAAGGCAGACCAACCCGTGCGGGCTTACACTGCGCCCTACCACCAATGGTTATCGACTTAGACGGCCGTAAGATTTCGCTAATTTTCATATTTCATAAAGCCAGGCCCAAAAACACGAGTCATTGCCTACAAAATATAAGGAAGTAATAATTGCGTTCAGCTATTGCAAGTACATTGGCAGCAGCGACTTGCGGGTATTGCGTAATCCATTACGTAGTTAACTCGAAAAAGTAGACGTAATCGTATACGTTTCATGACGAAAACTCGGAGTTAGGGTACGTTGTCATTTATACACAATCTATATAATATTTAGTTTCAACTATCGTATCGTTTTTTTTTAAAGAAAACCTGACAAGTTTATGTTTTTATACACTACTTTAGACAGGATTATTGAAAAGTAGGTAGTCGGTAGGCAGCGGCCTGGCTCTGCCCCTGGCATTGCTGAGGTCCATGGGCGACGGTAACCACTCACCATCAGGTGGGCCGTATGCTCGTCTGCCTACAAGGGCAATAAAAATAAAATAAAATAAAATAAAAGTATATAGTGGCTCGCACACCTTTAGCTTCCGCCCACTTCGATAAAGCGGCACGACACGAGAACCCTCTCATCGTGGCCACCGGAAACTACATCCCCGATCCTGCGGATAGAATGGAAAGCAGTCGACGTCGCCCCAAACACGTCATTTCGGATCCTCCCGATCCACTAACGGTGCTTTTAGGTACTTCAAGCACCGGTCACCGTTCTCGTCGAACCCGTCGCTTGCGACGAAGGGCTCAACGAGTAAATTAACCCTCAGACACAGCCCACTGAGTTTCTCGCCGGATCTTCTTAGTGGGTCGCGTTTCCGATCCGGTGGTAGATTCTGCGAAGCACGGCTCTTGCTATGGTTCGTGTTAGCAACTTCGTCAGGTTTGAGCCCCGTGAGCTCACCTACTAGTTAAGGTTCCGCTGAAATACCCTCTCAAGGCTATCAGTTCAAGTAGGAAAAAAATAATAGCTTCCGACAAACAGCTGTCCCATTATCATGTCTTCTGCACAGTTTTTAAAGATAACTAACAATATATAACTATTTGGAATTCCAGGTGGAGTCAGGCCGTGAAGAACTGAAGAAGGAAAGAGAGATCATGCAGCTAGTGGCGGGTCTGCAGCTTGGCTCCGACGAGGTTGAGAGACGCGAGGTGCCGCCACATTTACTGCGAGCTAAACACGCACCCAGGTCAGTCAAATCATTCATTATTAACCTTTACACACTCATATAATTATTATGTTGCTGCGCTGCAAGGCATTTGCGTCTTCTGCTGGCAAGTAAGTCCTCGATTTTGAATGAATAGCCTCAACTTTATTTCGCCGCGCTCATTCTAGATCAGCGATTCTCAATCTGTGGTACACGTACACTCTGGGGGTACATGAAAATTATATTATGATAATGGCGGAAATAATGAAAAATTTTAACTTGCGCTTTTTTTTAAATTTCTCATTGGTTTAATGGGTGGACGAGCTCACAGCCCACCTGGTGTTAAATGGTTACCGGAGCCCATAGACATCTACAATGTAAATGCGCCACCCACTTTGAGATATAAGTTCTAAGGTCATCTAAGCAATAAAATAAAAAAGGACTCAGTATAGTTACAACGGCTGCTTGTTGAGAGGCTATATCAGCTTCGCCCTAACATGTAGGTGAGCTCACGGGGCTCAAATCAAACCGGAGTAGTGCTAACACTGGCCCTAACAAGAGCAGTGCTTCGTAGTATCTACCACCGGATCGGAAAAGCGACTCGCTGAGAAGATCCGGCGAGCAACTCAGTGAGCTGCCGACGAGTTGAGTGCATTGTTAGTGAATCATCAGATCATAATGAACAGTAAAATGTTGCTGTTACCGAATTGGGATACCTAATTTATACCTAATAATATAATGTAATAAAAATTATTTTCCCTTAATTCCAGATAACACGAAGCCTGTTCACGTGAGGGTCATCTATTAGTCGGGCGCGTCACGGCGCGGCGTGAGCGTGCGTCCGACCGGAAACAACTCTCAAATTTATAATTCCACAACGCGAACACGAGCACACAACTAGCTACCTTGTTACAAGGCAGTCAAAGTTCATTTTACGAGATCTGGTTCGAGAATCGATACCTGAAAAGTTTTTGGGTGATAGAGATTTGTCACGAATTCACTAGTTGTAGTTCTATCGTACGTAATAATATACACAAGCACTTCGATTACATGTTAGTGAGGACATATCTGAAAATATACACATACCATATATTACAGTATAAATTAATTTCTGATAAAAAAAAAAACTTTATCACATCTGTGCAATTCAGTTCATTCAGAAAAAGTTTACGGAGCATAAACTTTTGTGTTTATATTATGAATAGTATTTTGAATTTGAGTTAGTACTACTACTACAACTCCATTATATTTGGCGTGAAATATTAATTCTGATTTTAAGGATAGAACAGCTATCATCGTCTCAAGGTTGTAAGGTCATTTCTTAATGTTTATGGCCATTAATAGCCTCTTACCACAAGATTAACCTTGAGCTAATCTTTCATTTTTATCTCACAATCTATGCAACTAATTATCGATCTAAATTCGTCACCACAATTAATTGACACAGATACAGGCTAATAGTTTTACGCTTAAAATATTAAAAGTCGATTGGTAAATTTTCCACTTCACTATATAATCGGTTATCTCGTACAAAGCAATTATCTACAGCTATATCGCATGAGGAGTTTCGGCCTCGTTCGATTTAATTGTCGGACACAAAATTTAAGATTTTGCAATATTTTTCAGGAAAATATATTTTCTGAACGTTTTTCTTAAAATTTATTCCCTTCACGTTTTCACGCCAAATGCAACTCAGATCTTAATATTGAACATCAATTATATCAACTAAACGATGTCCAACATTTCCAGTACTAATTATCCAAAAAATATGTTTTTTATTAGAAGTTTTGGTATGTTTAAAAAATTTAAATAAACCATGGAATTGAGCACTCGTTCCCGAATTATAGATTATACACTTGAAAATGCGCGTGATGCCGCCGTCTTTGATCAATATCAGCCAGTTCTGAATTCCCTACTTGATGTCAGATGTCACTGTCAAAATTTAATATTTATGATGATTCGCGGGGATATTTATGATTCGCGGGAAATACTGATTCAACATTGCATCACGCTTTACTTTCTGGCTTCCTGCAGACGATGCCTTCATGGATTCAAACCAATGCAATAAACAGTATTAATTCGCCAACGTACAATAATATTATGGCAACAATAAATCTGTCAAATCATTTTATAAATATTAATAGAATTTAAAAAGAAAATTTACAAAATTTCTGACACATTGTTATCGAAACTCGTAATGCGTTAGAATTAATAATTAATACGCATGTTGTAAAATTAATTCCTTTTTGTTCTTGCACTATAATTTCAGTGCAAAATGTATTCGAAGCGTGTACCTCAATCGTAAAAGAGCGTACAAAATTAAAAACTTAGTCAGCTTATATATACAAATTTGATTAAGTAGCTCACACATAAACGAACTATTTTTAATAAATAAACGCAATTAAAAAAAATGCATTCGTTATTTATAACACTACTTTAACTTACTTATATCAATGTTTTTTTTAAATAAATATAAAATTAAAATTAATTAAATTCCAATATTTTATTAGCTCTTAAGTGTATTAAAAATGGTAAGTCTTTTAGTGTAATATCAAAACGGGGTTCTTTTAAGACTTATGTAAATAATAGGTCTAAGTTTTAGAGTAATATTTCCATCAAATATTCTAGGCTATGAGTGCCATTAAAATGTTCGAGTTCACAACTCAATGTGTATACTTCCACGCGTATGTACGTGTAGTTTTTTAAGGTGTTTATGTATAAAAATAATTTTTAGTCAATCATTAAAGCAAGTTTAAAGTATTGTAATGAAATTAATGGTTTCTAAGCGAAGACAACGATGTATTCAATTCTTTAATAATCAAAATAAAATGTTTTATATCGAGTTTTGCGTTTTAGATGCAATAGAACCTTTTTAATTAAGTTTCGATAAATAAATAGTTGGATATCCATAAGAGTGAGATTTATCACCATTCCCAACTCTGCTATACAATAAAATTACAGCTTTAACGCTTTTTTTTCCTACCTATGCTGATAGCCTTAAATAAGAGGCTATTTCAGTTACTCCTTGACGTGTAGATGAGCTTACGGGGCTCAAACCGGAGTGCTGCTAACACTGACCCTAGCAAGAGCAGTGCTTCGAAGAATCTATCACCGGATCGGAAATGCGTCCCACTGAGAAGATCCGGTGAGAAACTCAGTGGGCTGTGTCTATAGGTTAATTTACTCGTCGAGCCCTTCGTCGCAAGCGACGAGTTCGGCCACGACGGTGATCGGTGCTTGAGGTACCTAAAAGCACTGTTAATGGATTGGGAGGATCTGTAATTACGTGCTTAGGGCGACGCCGACTGTTTACCATTCGGTCCACAGGATCGAGTATGTAATTACCGGCGTCCACGACAAGAGGGTTTTCATATCGTGCCGCGTTCTCAATGTGCTGCAAGCTTTGTCTCAAAGGTGGGTAGCCGCCATTATATTGTGATACCATAAACTCCAGTGATGACAACAACGTAATTGATCGCCAGTTCGTTCACAGATTGTGCTTAAGCAAGTTATGCTTATGTAAAGTAAAAAAATTAACAAATCATACACTAAGAGTTGTTTTTTAGGGACTTGTGCTCTCGAAATTGCCTGCCTGTTAAGTTAGCGCTTGTCTGTCGTTCTGGGTCTGCGTTGGGATTTGGCATGGTTTTTACGTTCAGCCGCGTAGCTGATGTCAACAATCATTCATTGCAACGTGCCCTCACTCTCTCTGGAGAGTGAGTTTTCCTACTCCAGATCGCGGCCACCAATTTAGGACAGTGGCTCTGGAAGTGGCGCATTGACATCAACCACATGAGAAGCACAGCCGGGCTCTTCAAAAGGGGTCGCCTTCCCGACAATACTGCTAGTATCACGAATTAGGCGCGGTAACTCCATTCCCGCCATTAAAACCTTTGGCCAGCCCATACCGTGGGCTTCAAGGGCTAAGGGCTAAGTACTTAGGCGTCACTCTCGATAGCGGGGTGACATTCGGGCCCCACATTAAGACAAATCGAGCCGCGCTCCTACTCGGTCGATTCTACCCCACCATCCATTCATCCTCATCTAAGGGAAGTAAATTGTCCCTTTATAACAAGGTGACACTACAAAACTTGTGTAGTGTTCGCTTTGTTCGATTAGGGTAAAGTTACTGTAAAATGCAAATTAATTCTACAAAATACTATTTACTCTTCCCGAATACTGGATAGGATACATGTATTTGATGCTGATGAATTATGTCATCCGTCCCTGAAAAGTCTAGCTTTTCACATTTGGCAATTAAATACTTACGCTAAGCTTTTTGTTGTTGGGGTATTCTTTCTACAATACCCAATATGTTATTCCTATATTTTGAAGTCAATAAGTATATGAATCCATGCTACGATTCACACATTAGGCCACGAATGCTATTCCATAGCTTATAGATTATATACTTTAATTAATTTATTTATTATTGCTTAGATGGGTGGACGAGCTCACAGCCCACCTGGTGTTAAGTGGTTACTGGAGCCCATAAATATCTACAACGTAAATGCGCCATCCACCTTGAGATATAAGTTCTAAGATCTCAGTATAGTTCCAACGGCTGTCCTACCCTTTAAACCGAAACGCATTACTAACTGCTTCACGGCAGAAATAGGCGGGGTAGTGGTACCTACCCGTGCGGACTCACAAGAGGTCCTACCACCAGTAATTACGCAACTTATAATTTTGCGGGTTTAATTTTTATTACACGATGTTATTCCTTCACCGTGGAAGTGAATCGTGAACATTTGTCAAGTACGTATTTCATTAGAAAAATTGGTAACCGCCTGCGGGATTCGAACACCGTTGCATCGCTAGATACGAATGCACCGGGCGTCTTATCCTTTGGGCCACGACGACTTCAAAAGTTAATATAACTTACTATTTAACTACGAATAAATAATAAGTATTATTTATTAAATAAATAATAAGTATTATTTATTCGTTAAGATTTTATATGCAATAAGATACTATACCTATACTTTAATTTTTTTATAACAACTGCTTCACTCTTTCAACAGGCGTGACTGCTTCGGGTCAGAATAGTGGTGCCTCCCTGTGCGGGTTGAAGTACACGCTATTCGTTTCTAATAAATATCAAATGTATTAACTATGTTTCAAATGGTGCTTCAGGGCCTTGAAACTGTGATACTTTAAGACAAATATTTTTATCGTATAGAAACTATCGACATCTCGTAGCGAATGCCCCTAAGCTTAAATGTTGTCTAAAGTGAAGGCATTTCATTATTGTTTAACTAAACACAGAAAATAAAATAAAAAAACTAATAAATCATACAAGTCTTTATTTGTTATAAACAGATTGATTAAATTTTATTAATAAAATTTACAAAATCCTTCATTAAAAATAAAATATAGGATAGTAAAGTTAATGTTACTGCTATCTATAAAAGCAATGAGAAACTAATCGAAATGAAGCCATCTAGTGGCCGACGCACGTAAACATTTATGTTGAATGCTTGAGTTGCTTATCTATAACTAATTTGTGTATTAACTATGTCGTGTTTGTCCGCCGAAGCGGCTATATCTAGTTTGTTTCGAGAATAGCGCCATCTTGTGAATACATCAACTATGTCTTCAATTTAGCTAGTTGTATTGGATTAATTTGTGTTTTCTCTAACTGATTATAGATGTCACTGTTATCAAAACTAAAGATTTTAATGGAATGTTTGATGCTCCGTTATGATAACGTTAAAATATTATTTATATCATATTTTTTTTATATATTGCTAATATAGATAGACGAGCTCACGGCCCACCTGATGTTAAGTTGTCACCGTTTTCCATAGACATCAACCTTATCAATGCCACCACCCATCTTGAGACATGAGTTCTAAGCCTGAGTTTTTACAGTATAACGGCTGCCCCACCCTTGAAACCGAAATGCTACACAGCAGAAATAGGCAGGGCTGTGGTACCCACCCGTACGGGCTCACAAGACGCCCTAGCACCAATAATTACGCAAATTGTAATGATTTATTACACGAATCAGTATGCTAAGTGTGAGTTTTTTAACGTTTTCGATAGCGTAAAAGTTAGCTCAAATTTGTTTGCAGTTGGAACAGCGCCCCTAGCGGTAAACGTAGGCAAGTTCGAACTGCATACAAATTTGAGTTCACTTTTACGATATCGAGAACGTTAAATATATATATTTTTTTTATTGCTTTCATGCGTGGACGAGCTCACAGCCCACCTGGCGTTAAGTGGTTACCATAGACATCTATAACGTAAATGCGCCACACACCTTGAGATATAGTTCTAAAGTCTCAATATTGTCACAACGGCTACCCCACCCTTCAAACCGAAACGCATTACTGCTTCACGGCAGAAATAGGCGGTGCGGTGGTACCTACCCGTCCGGACTCACAAGAGGTCCTACCACCAGTAAGTAGCACGCACTAAGCACACAGTTCTATAAATTACCTATTAATAGCTACGAAAAGCTTTTTAATTGTTAAAATAATATCGCTTTCAAAAATCTATTGCTGTCTTTGCTGTTGCAATTTTTTTGAGAAAACAATTGTTTTTCAATTTCCATTAGTTACCTTACCTCTGTCAACGGGAGGCATATTCATACATTACGTAAAGCTTTATGAGCGAATAGCGTTTTATCAATACAATGTAAACTTTAATGTTATGCTTTAAGATGATAAATTCTTCTTTTTCTTTTGGTCCGTGAGCTCGTCTGCCTATTTTGAAGAACAATAATAGATAGACATTGTTAGTTAACTAAAAGAAAAGTAGGCAAATGTCCGGAAAATCCGAACAAAACAAACAAACAAAAAATAATCTTTTATAATGTCAATCTTGGTCAAAACAATAATCCAAAGATTCATGTTAATAGAACCTCTTGAATTCGTTCAAAAGTACATGTCGGTAAAATGTCTTCCATTCATTTTATTCCTGAATGATGCAACTTGATTTTGTTAGATTCTGCTAGTTAGATTGTGGTAAATTCTTTCCTGTATATCGTAACCTCACTCAGATATACTGCGCTTATTAAATCATATCCAAACATCTATGAGTTTTATTTCAATAATTATTAATATAAGACACACATGGCCTTCCTTTTTTGTCTGATGCCAGAATATTAATTATACTCCTATTTATTCAAATGATTTGTACATCAGTTATTTTACGTTGAACGTGTTATTATTAAATTTTCGTCTTGATCGTCAACAACAACTGATCGAAGCTAGTAAGTAGTGATTTTTAAAAATACCGTATCGCATCTCAGTACAGATTAGTGATCTGTTATGCTGGCATTAATTTGAAACTATTGATATCGTCTCCATTGCATGATCATTGGCGGCAAATGTCGCGCATGAGCAGTCGCATAAACAGACATTTTATATAAATTACCGATATAGCGGAGAGCACTATCCTCTAGTCCAGAGGTCGGCAACCTGTTTGTCCTTAAGGGCGCAATACTAAATTTGAAAATCACCGAGGGCGCATATTTTACAGATAATCAACAGGTATAATAAATAGGCATTAAAAAAACAGATTTTTTATAACTTTATTTTGTTGGTTCATACATAATGATAAATATAATTCAGTGTGAAACTTGGTGTCCATATTTTCAGGTAATTTCTTATAATTGGGGATATATTTAGAGTTCCCGGTTCTTAAACAATTATCTAAATGTGAGTCATTAAGCTTTGTTCGGTATTGAAAGAAAGTAATTATTTCAGATTACTTGGTAGTTTTAAATGCACGGTCTACGTGTGGTCTATTCGAAATACGATCACACACTAACAAAAAATACGTGCGTGTTATTAGATACACTCAGGGCTAGCAAACTGCTAATCTACGCACAATCCTAAACTCAATTGACTACTTGCTGTATATCGCCGTTTGACAAGAGTAAGTAAATCGCTCTGGCTATCATACATTTACATTAATTAGTCCAGCGAGGGCGCATTAAAAATCGATCGCGGGCGCCGCGTCGCCTGCCCCTACTCTAGTCTATCTAGTCATTTGCTACGAGAAAACTGGAAGAAAGAAATTAATAAGAAAAATAATACGCTATATCATTTTTAAATGGATTTAAATCTGGACTACGGTATGTGGTGTCTTCTGCCTAGAACAGTGCCACTTTGTATTTTCTCGTAAGTATCGTAAAATGCGATTCAGCTAAGAATAGACAGCAATGGTCTCCCAGGATTATATCAGCGTACTCGATCGTAAGGCGTATTGTAAGCATGAGTAGGAAGGATTCCTGTTTTTTCATGCCCGGGTCTTACCCCCTACCAGGTTCCCGTTTTAGGGGGCGCGCGAGGTATATGGGACTGATCCGCAAATGTTGCGAGCAGACCTTGGGCCCGGAGGAATTTACGGTCCTACCCAGTAAATGACTCCCCTGCACTCTCGCCCAAGCGCCCGATCCCCTTCGAGGTCAGAGCCCCGGTAGGGTAAGTGTGTTACCGTGGTTAAAACTGCAACCAGACTGCGGAGCTTACTCCAAGGACGCCTGGCCGACGGAGCTTTCGAGACGAAGAACGAAGGCTCTAGAACGTCAGCCGCCTTTGTACGGCAGACCGTCAAACCGCTCAGACGGTGCCGCTGGTGTCCTGGAATACTCCGCTGGACCAGAACCATCCTGTCGGGTCGGATCTCTACCAAGTCTGCCTTCCAAGTTTTTTTAATCTATTTACTTACTCTTTTTATCAGTTTTGAGTAATATCGTAACAAATTTGATCAATATCGAAGAGACCAAATGGTTCTAATTTTTTGAGCAGATAAAGGCGAAAGTCGAATATTCAGGTTATACTAAATCATAACTAATACTCATCCTTTAATTCGTCCGTGAAATAATGTGCAGCAGTCTTATGAGAATGATGAACATCCATATTTTCACTTGTTTAAAAATGTGCTGGACTTAGAGATTGTCTTTTTTTTTCTGGTCGTCGCACACCGAACGTATTCCGCGGATTGATACTTAATACTTTGGCACAGTTGACCAAAGTCCAGCGCGTTCACAGCACGCGTTCACGCCATTAAGCCAGTACGCGGATGTCACTGGCCGTTGTATGTCGAAAAAAGTGAATACACGAGCGCGAAATTCGAATTAAGAACACAGTTTGACAGTGTAGTGATTTTTGTTATGAGTGTGTATTTTATGCAACTGACTTATTTATGTTTTTTTTTTTCCAAATTTATTTTCATTTAAGAACATATGAATAAATTGGATTTACTTACTTCGGCTGTTTTTAAATAGTATTATGGTAAGTTCTTTTTTTTTTTTAATTCACTAAGATTTATTATGTCACAAGGCTCTGTGACATCTTCAATTTAAAGAGTTTTTTTTCCACACGGATGTTTTAACAATATCTAAACTTACTTAAGCATTAATCTATTGTAATTGATTTTGTTGATAATAAATGCGGTTACAATCTATTGTTATCCATTTATTTCTGAATGCAAATTAAAAGAAAGAATAATCTTAAATAATATTACAACAATAATAGTTTAAAGGATAGTAAGTAGTTAAAAATTCCATCACGTGCATAATTAATCTTGATGCATATGTTATATGTATCTTAGTCTTTATTCTTTATTGTACACACAGTTAATATTACAATAATTGCGTAAGATATAAAAAATGGCGAGCTTAACTCAACAATTGAGTTTTCTACCAGCTAACCGTTCTTAACGAAGGAAAGCTTTAAATGAGTGGGTAGAAGAATACAATCTAAACAATTTACAATCTAGACAAGAACTTAATAAAAAAAAAAACAAAAAACAAAAAACACTAATACATAATATATTAGACTACATATATATACATACACACATAAATAACGTAAACATATACATACACGTACATATATAATGAAATACATAAAATAAATATATATAAGTAATACTAAATAGATAGATAGTGCTTCTTTAATGCCTTCCTGAATACCTCAAGTGAGGGACTTGCACGGATTGAGTGTGGAACTGAGTTCCACAGACGCACAGACTGCACAGTGAACGAACCGCCGTAGCGGCTGGAGGAGTGAGGGGGAAAATTAAGGAGAAGGGATCTACTTGTACGACAGGGTACACCTCGGGGCATCTGGTACTCGAAGCGCTCACGGAGGTACCGGGGAACAGCTGGGTTATTAAGGATGTTGAACAGCATACATAAAACATGTACATCACGGCGAAGTCGGATAGGTAACCAATTAAGTTGTGATCTGTACTGCGAGACATGATCATATTTGCGTAAACCAAAAATAAAGCGTATGCATAAATTTTGTAACCTTTCCAGTTTGTCCCACAGCCCCTCCGCGGCGTCCAGGAAACAGACATCTGCATAGTCAAGGAGAGGAAGCATAAGGGATTGGGCCAGGGTGACTTTAGCTTCAAAGGGCAAGAAACGCTGAAGACGCTTGAGAGACTGAAACGTGCAATGCACTTTCCTGCTAACTAAGTTTATCTGACTGGACCAAGAGAGATGACAATCAAGAACGATACCTAGGTTTTTTGCTGTTTTAGAATAAGCGATTGGAATTCCATCTAGCGTCACAGGGGGCAAATTAATGTGGTCAATCGTGTTGTACCTATAGGAACTACCAATTACTATGACCTGTGATTTTGATGGATTCACAAGAAGTCCAAAAGATTTAGCCCAAGCACTAATTCTACCAAGATCTCCATTGATTTCAGCAATAGCTAGAGCAACGTCATCAGCTTTAAAATGTCTATAAATCTGCAAATCGTCAGCGTAGAGATGGTAGTGAGAAGTCAGCACCTGAGTAATTTCATTAATGAAAATAGAGAAAAGGAGAGGAGATAGTACGCCACCTTGAGGTACACCCGCAGTTAAATCACACCATTTTGAAGTAGCATCATCAGAACGGACACACTGCGAGCGTCCCCGGAGATAAGATTCAAACCAGGTTAGAGCAAGTGGAGATACATTAAGAGATCCAAGGATACTTAGAAGGATGTCAAAGTCTACTGAGTTAAAAGCACTGCTGAAGTCCAATAAGGTCAACACGGTTAGCTGCCCCACATCAATCGCGTGGCGAATGTCGTCAGTGACCTTGAGCAATGCAGTGACCGTGCTGTGGCCTTGGCGGAAACCAGACTGAAAAGAGTTGAGGAGATTGTTTTTATTAAGGTAGATAGTGAGCTGTCTTTGGACTAAACCCTCCAAGACTTTAGAGAGAATGGGAAGTATTGAGATTGGACGAAACTGAGAAAAAGAGGAAGGATTAGGGACCTTAGGAAGTGGGAGAACATGAGCCTTTCTCCAGCTACTTGGGAATGAGCCTTTTGAGAGAGAGAAGTTAAGAATATATGTAATGATAGGGACAAGCTCATCCACAAGCAGAAGGATCATCTGAAGGTGAATCCCATCCTCACCCACAGCCCTAGTGGAAATAGAAAGGATGGATCTCTTAACGTCACACTCTGTAACCGGAGTGAAAGTAAAAGGAGTGCACATGGGTAAAGGCCTTTTGGAAAGTTGTAATAGTGTAGATGACTTTGTACTGTCATTAAGAATAATGGGAGCTTGAGAGAAATGCTTATTTAAAGCGTCGAGGTTAATAGTAAAGGAAGTTTCGTTTAACTGTTTGCCAATGCCTAGTGAATTAAGGAATTTCCAGATTTGGCATGTGTTCAGACCCTCTAAGGAGCTATGAATATGGCGTCTTTTGGCATCTCTACACATCCGATTGCAACGATTACGAAGTTTCTTGTAAGTTGTAAGATTGTCTTCCGTTGGGAGCTTTCTGTATCTGCGTTTAGCCTTATCTCTCCTGGCCATCATCTGCCTAATTGAGTCGGATAACCAAGGTGAGGGTAACTGTTTAACTCTGACACGTCTGATGGGAGCATGATTATCATAAAGAAGCGAGATATTTTTATTGAAAGAACAAACCATGTCATCGATCGTGTCAGAGCCGAAGACAGTCGACCAGTCAACATTCCTCGCGTCAGCCCGCAATCGCTCCACGCCTATACCCTTGAAGCTACGAAGGAAAAGGTATTTGGGTTTGGGTTTAGGAGGACGAATCTTGTAGGAGAGATAAATTAAATCATGATAGGAAAAAGGAGCCGATAGTTGTCCGTGTGTAGCAACCATGTTGGATTCAGAAACAATAATTAAATCCAGAAGGGAGTGGTCTTGATATTGAGGTGCACAGTGTGTAGCTGCAAGAGGGAGGATATTTAAGTTGAGAGAAGTAACTACCGCACGAAGTTTATCAGCACGGCTGTCAGATTTCAGAAGGCAGGTGTTAAAATCACCAAGAATTATTGTATGATCATAAAGGGGGGAAAGAGATTCAAGTTTAGATTCGAAAGAGGAGAAATAGTCAACATGAGAAGAGGGGCTATAAAGAACGCCTAGAAGAAGCTTAGTATGGTGAAAGGAGATTTCAATAAATAGGTTTTCTGCGGACTGCGTATATTCACCTGGGGACGCATCAATAACTTTAGAAGGAATATCAGAACGAAGATAAATCGCTACGCCACCTCCTCCTTTCCCTGTTCTGTCGTTGCGTAGTAAGCGATACCCAGGTAGAGAGTACTGAGTAGAGGGAAGAGCAGGTTTAAGAAAGGATTCAGAGATGAGTACTGCATGGACGACACTGGAATCGAAAGAGGACAAGAGATCGGGATAGTGGGCTGGGACACTCTGTGCGTTTATGTGAACGATGTTGAGGAACTTAGGAAACGGCGAAAATTTTGCTTGAATCAAGTCTCGCAAATGAGTTGAGTCATCATCCTCACTAAATGCACTACCATAGCTTATGTCAGACGAGCTTGAGGAAGAGCATGAGAAGAAGGCATCATTAATATCTAAATTTGACATACTAAGATAATATAATATAAATATATACTAAACAAAAATACAGTAAAATAATAGAAAACACTAAAAAATAAATAAAGCTAACGTAAAACTAAAATCTAAAGATTTACAACTGTAACTTACTTCACAAACGCTCCTTTCGAGATTGGCAAATCACTTTAATCTAAGTCAGAAAATGTACATACTAAAAACAAAACGCAAATTCTATTATCATTGTCACAAATATATTAAGTAAATGTATAATCTATATTGACAATATAAAACTTAAGAGTTGGCTGTATGGCATAGTTCCATTGCCTTTCTCTTCGAGAAAAACCCTACTGCTGCTACTACTAAGTGCATAATCTATGATTATCACTTATCTATCTGTCAGTTCTATTACAATTATTTACAATCAAAATTTTTATATGTTGGTAATTTTGAAAGTTGATCGAAATAATGTTCAAAAACGCATTACAACTACCTCGAATAGATAACTAAGTTTTTAGTGTTACATCTATGAATAAGTTCAAGATACCGCCATACTACTTTCGACGAGTCGTCCTCTTGCCGATTTCTCGCTCTGCCGCTGATTTTGGTGCCGTCTTGGGTTCGTCATGAGATTTCCCAGATGACTGAGGAGCTCCTTGCGCTTTTTGAGCCGAGGGAAACTTGGTTTTCAGATGCTGAAGTTCAAACATCTGTTCAATCTTACTGCGTTTATTATCCGGGAGAAGGACGATTATTTTCCCATCTGTTGTCCAGCAGCGCTTAACGCCGAAATGAGAGCGGGCCTCCAAAAAGACATCATGACGTGATTTGGTCAGAAATTCTGAAATGATGACCCTAGAACCCTTCAGGAGTGTCTTGTTCTTCCACACTTCATTGCATCGCCTCAAACTCAGGAACCTGACTAATATAGGCCTAGGCTTATTGGTGTTGGAGCCTAACCGATAGCAAGCAGTTAAGTCCTCTTCTGTGCAACCAGCCACCTTCATTTGGTTGGTTAATATACCCACAATTGCTGTTGCTGGGTCTGTGGCATCTGACTCCGGGATTCCATGAAACAGAAGGACCTTACGACGCGACGCCATCTCATGCCTGTCCAACCCCAAGAGAACAAGCTCCATCTGTGACCTCAGCATGTTGAGTGTTTGTAGTGTGAGATTCCGGAATGCGATGAAATCTTGTGACAACTTGCCTAGGTCCGTGTGTGGTGACTGGTGACTGCTCAGCATTGCTTCAAACTCAGTCATCCTCTGCACAACGCTTGATTCCACCTCTTGTAACTTAGTGTACAGATCCATGATGCGGCGCTATTGATGATGTGGCAGTAGTGATGATGTGAAGTGATATTAATAGAGAGAACTTGTTATGAGCTGTTGTGAAGCAAGTTATGGAACCCAAATTATAGCATTTAGATATGAATAGGTAAAA